TTAGGGTTGGGTCAAAGGGCATCAGTTTGATGGCGCGAGTCTGACTCGAGTCCAAGTCATGTGACTCGAGTCCACACCTCTGCAAATAACCGTTCACACCTACGTTCACACTAACGTTCAGTTTAGAGAGAACCGTTCACACCTACGTTCACACTAACGTTCAGTTTAGAGAGAACAGTTAAGAGAGTGACTGATGAAGGAAACCAAAGAGAACACAGAGCCAAACTCCACACAGGGAGACCTTCAGTTAATACAAGGGTTTAAACCGGCGACCATGTTGTCGTAAGGCAAGAGCAATAACCACTCCTTCATCACGTGGCATTGGCAGAGTGGCAATAGAAAAACCTCAGAGATCAATTATTCTAATAATTTTTGTCCTTTTACTGTTAACAATTTCATGATTCAATGAAATTGTTATTTCATTCATTCAAGATAAATTCAACAGACATCGTCTCATCTCTGACCATCTTCCTCCTCCTCCTCCTCCTCCTTTTCCCCTTTGTTTAGTCTCCATTCCCTGCATTTTCTCCATGGCAGCAGCAGGAACCACCAATAAAAACAAACATGAATAATTAAAGGCTGGGAGTTTGACTCTCCCTCTGAAGCCCCTTTAACGGCACCTGGCGTCCGTCCCTCTGTCCCTTTAAAAACGTCCACACAAATAAAGGCCCGTCAGTCTGCGGCCGTAAAAACCCACACAGGGCAGCAACGAGGTGACGCTGTGAGCGGAAATGTGCGAATGGAATAGTTGACCCTCATTAGGGGGTGTCGTCATTAGTTACACACCTCGAATGCAGTGTCAAAGACACAGACAGGTGGAGCTGTTTCTCTGTTATTGTGCCACAGCAGCACCTCCTCTCGGTGCTGGATCAGTCTGGCATCAGATGTGACAGCGTGTTAACTGGAGGTCAGTCAGTGCTGCAGTGAAACCACTGATCCATTCACAGGCCAATGTTGAAGGACAGATCTTTTATTTATGATTTTTCACCCATAAAAATGACTGGAAAAAAACCTGGAGGGCGCAGTACTTCCTTCTACCACTGGTGTCATCTATCTGAAATGCAACAACTTTGTGAAGAAGTTCCATGTGGAAAACTTTACCTCACAGTCAAATGACACCATCCACGTATAGATTAGTCATAATTTTACCTAATCTTAACAGTCGAAAAATACAAAAAAGGTAACTAATTGTAAGCACACACGTAGCCAAAATATAAAACAGGAAACAAAATGCAAAAAATAATATAAAATACAATTCTAAAAACCAGTTAAATATAGCTAGCATATATAGCAATATAGTTAGCCAAACAAAGTAGAAATTAGGGAAAAGGCTAAAAACGAAGAATGAAATGTAATGAACGTTATGAAAACTTAATGAAACGTTAACTAGCTAAATGTTAGCTAGGAATTACATATCTATAATGTATATATATAAAACTCCCAGGCTAACAGTGGGATTCTGCTTCTTCTGGGTTAAAGTCTGCTGAGTTGCAGAATCCCTCAGTTTGGTTGTGACACAGCTACTTTTACTGCACTCCTGGCTAAATGCTTGCATTTGTAAGTGAGTGGAGGTTTTTTTTTTTTTTTACCCCGTTTCATGCCTCAGCAGCTTCTTAACTGTAGTGATGCAAGGACAGAAAGTGGGTCAGACCGTTGTCGGACTGTAACTCTCTGCAGCAAAAAAGTGGAAAACTGTGACGTGTGACGTAAGGTGGTTATTTATTAGAATCATTTAGAATCTACGGTATATGTTTTCATGCTCTTTGGTCAAAGATGTTTCAACTCTTTTTCATTTCTCAACTTTGGGTTAACTGGTTTTCTTGTAGTTGCATACCAGTGTACGAATGAGGTCATAAAATCTAATAACATTAAAAGTCAAATACTGTTACGGCCAAATTTGTAAATAAAATAGCTAAATAATGGCTACCTATGAAAAAATGGTTGCCAAAGGGTTAGGGTTAGGGTTAGGGTTAGGGTTAGGGTTAGGGTTAGGGTTAGGGTTAGGGTTACCTCAAGGTAGCTTATAATAACTGACCAGAAGTGCGTATATGAAGTTTTTTATAAACAGGAAAGTCAGAAAGAAACAGGCAATCTACCAACTAGATCCAGGCCAAGAAGAAAAACCTAGTTAGCTAAAGTAAGCAAAAAGTGTTACCTCGGCTTCCATGAACATTGAGCAAGGCCAAAAACATTGAAATGAATAAAAGTTAAAACTGAGAAATAAGTAAAACCCAGTCAAAAATACACTATATTTTTGTAATCCTGATGTATATTTCAGATATATTTTATAATATATATCTGTATATATAAAAATATATCTGTATAATTCAGATATATTTTTGTAATCCTGATGTATATTTCATGGCACCGGTGTGGCTGTTTTTGTGTTTTTTTTTAGCATTCTCCGGGTGTGGCTCTAACCTTCACTTTTACATCTTTGTGCCGATTCTTAGTTCTTACCCTAAATATAATCTGACACTAAATTTTGAAGCTCAAAATCCCTTCATGGCAGGACCCTTGAAACGTACCCACAATAAAAATCGTCCAAGAAACTACGGTATTGTTTTGGAAAAATGTCCCCACAAATGTAGCCTTACCAGGTGCATTGACACACACACACACACACACGCTGGTTGCAGCTCCTCCACCTACGTGCACTTGTTTATATTTTGCCTCCTCGACACTTCTGTTTGCATGTGAATCTGTGCTCAGACAGATCTGCAGCCAAACGGCCGTGGGGACTGAGGGTGGATGTGATGTAGAATGTGGTGAAGTGGAGTAAGGCAGGAGAACCTGAAAATCCTTCTTATCCACAGACACTGCTTCCCAAATCTGCTCAGCTCCCACCTTTTTTTTTTTTTTAAACCATTCTTCAAGTCTCCAGGGAAGATCCACGGAGCTGATCCCTGTCTGTGTCTATCTTTAGAAACTACGCGACACCAAATCCTCAGACTGCGCTGTGGCGTCTGCCTGTTTCCACAGACTGAAAAATGATAGAACGGAGGTAGAAACTTCCTGGCACGACTGGGTAGAAATAGCTAACTGTGACATTTAGCATTCTTAATGTTGGTTTATATGAACAGGATAGCATCAAACACATTCATCAGCTCCACCTCCGCGAGCCAAAGCTCTTCATGAACCACCTACAGAAAGAGCGCTACTGACCTGAGATCTGCTGACTTTGGAGGACTTATGTTAACTGAAGGAAAGCAGATGGAGAAGGTTTGTCAAAAGGTTGAAGGTCAAAGGTGTTGGTACCAAGGGCCAATAGTCTGCTAAGAGTTCATAGCCTCTAAAATATATACATACATTAGAATTTTTAACATGAGACTTTGAAGCAAGACAGGATGGATCAACATTTTTAATCTGTTTACGTCTGACTCCGATGTTTCCGTGTAGCAACAGAAACAGACACCAACAGGAAACGACTGCTCCGACATTCTTAGCCTCAACTTTGGAGAATACTTGGCTAACACTTGGTTTGTGTTACTTTTGTATTAATGTGTAGTTGTTGTTTTCATCCAACTGTTAACTTTTAGCTAGCTTAGTTTTTCTTTTTTTGTTGTTGTTGTTATTTTTTCCTGTATTTTCTCTTAGCCTTTACTGTATGTGGTAGATGTCAACTTTTGGCTAATTTGTATTTGGGTATTATTTTCCTTTGGTTTGTTGTTATTTTAGCTTTTAGTTATTTTAGCAAGTTGTAGTATTGTCTATGCTATATTAGGCTGTTTCGTTAATTTCCCCCCAGTGGTGGATCAATAAAGTTCAATCTCAGCTAATGTGACGTTTATTTTGTTATTTCAGCATACACTTAAAATTCTACTTTTCCAGACAGTGCTTCCAGTCCTTCATTTTTTTATATAAAAGTAAATACACTGAACAGCTGTAAAATAACTGCTCAAGGTGTTTTTTAAATCACAATAAATCAAAACACTCGCGGTCCAACTATTAGCACCGAGTTTCCAAAAAAAACTGGAAACCATTTTAGCAATACGCCTGCCATCTAGTGGATAGAACAAGCAGGTGCAACATATTTTTGGTGACGATTTGAAAGACACAACGGAATAAATTTAAAATACTGTTAAGGACGAATATATCAGTATACTCTGATTGGACGTCTGGTGTTTTTCTTTGTTTTGTCAGTTGTGGTTTATTTAGCCGCAAAATTATTTGTCGTTGACAAACAATATCTTGACTGGCACATTAATAATGATAATAATGTAAAAAAAAAAAAGATCCTAGCTCGAGGCTGTGCAGCCATTCAGTCTTAGGAGCCTGGAGGATATTCACTGAATGAAGAGACTGAGATGTTCGTCTTCTCCACCACTAGATGGCACAGCTGGGCAGCAAAAGCGAAAGAATGAGTGCATTGTTCTGAATGTGATCCAAATTCTACACTGCACACATCGCAAATACACACACGCACACACAGGCTGCCTGTAGGTGGCGTTGGTGTGTTGCACGTCATATGATTAGGGCTGGCGCAGAGCCAGCCTACAGGCAGCAGCAGGGCCCCCGCTCGGAGAGGAGGACCCGTATCTCCGTCGACGCCAGCAGCCAGGGCCCCATTATCTCCAGCAGGCAGAGAGAGGAGAGAGGGGAGGCGCATCCCCCCCCGTGCCCCCCCCCCCCCCCTCCACCACCTTCACCACACCAGCGCTGCGACCTCTCTGTGCACACAAGCACACTAAAGAAACCTGCTCCAGGAACCGGCCGACCGCCGCCCCATCCTCAGCCCGGGAGATTTGCACCAACGCCCGGTGCGTCGTGCGTCTTTGTCGCCTCAGAGGAGTCCATTATTGACATAATCATTATCATTATTGCCACCAGTGGGCCGTGCGTCCATGCTGTCCGCGGCATCACCTCACCACTAACAGTGAGGGTGCCAGCCAAGAGAAGAGGAGGAAGGAGAAGGAGTAGAAGAAGGCGAGGAAGAGTAGAGGAGAAGAAGGAGAAGAAGGAGGAGGAGTGGATAAGGAAGGGTGGGAGATCATCAACACAGGAACAAGAGGACAGTGTTTGACAGAGAACGGGATCCACAACTGAGTAAGTCGTGATTTGTTGACCGTGCCTCCGCTGTTGTCACTTGTTTTTTTTTTTATTTTGTTCGTGGATGCAGACGCAGCCGCGGCGGGGGCGCGCAATATTCAAGCTTCCAGCCGACCTACCGGTCCTGGCAGCATCTTTTTGCGACAGACACGCGGGTTGGAGATTCACACATCACAGATGCCAACAGAAATACAGAGAAGTGAATGGGGATGTTTGCAGCGTGAACGCCGCCGTTTCACTGATTAGGAGGCTGCAGAGACGCCCCGCGTCCTCGGAGGGGAACACTCTGTTCGTCCCCCAAAATAACAGGACAATCACATGTCCGTGCTTTTATTTTGGGAGGAAAATGGCTGCTGTGTGCTTATTATTATGTCATGTCAACATCCTCCCGCAGAGCCGCTGTAGTCGTGCACACTGTGGTGTGGCGTGGCTGCTCTGATTTGACCAGGGTAGGACAGGTGTAGAGCCCGGAGGACATGTTTACTCCTCCCGGTGCTCCATCATGTTCCATCGATCTGTTTGTGAACAGGGTGTTTTCAGGATGTGTCTCTCTCTGACAGACTGGATGCTCCAGTGGCGCCAGCTGCTGAGAGATGTTGCTGACTGCACGGCTGTATGTGTGGATGGATGGATGGAGGAAGAGAGTAGCATCGTTGTGATCACGGTGGTTGTGATGTGAGCAGCCCACTCCAACATGGCGCAGGAGCTGATAAACATTTGCCGTGGTGTACTCCTGTCTGGAGCTGTGGTCTGTGCTGTGGTCTGTGCTGCTGGAGGTTTAGACGAAGTCTGCAGGATTTCTATTCTTTTAATGACGTCAGAGAACCAGAACCAGACTCGACCTTTACAACATCTCGGTCTTCCTCCTTATGATACTACGTCCTGCCTCCCAACTTGTTGTTGTCCAACTTCTGGCCTTGGGTCCTTTTATTGCACTCACAGTATATACACAATAGTACACTATTGTAGTAAACACCAAAATCAATAGTTCAATAACCTTGAAGACTGTTTACCATCTCTGAAAACATGGACTAGACAGACTTCACAGTGCTGCAGGGACTGGGATTCAAACCGGCAAACCTGCAGTTACAAGTCCACCCTAGGACTATAACGTTTGTTGAAGTCTTAATAATTAAGATTATTTTTCCATTAACATTTTCTGTATAGACATCCGATACGTTAGCTCACCTTTAGCTTTGATTTTTCAATTCAGTTTTGACCAACTGTTGGATTTCTTTAACTGTTTTAGTTACTCCAAGCTAGGCCACGTTTACAGTTCAACTTAGGTAATTTTACGCATATTTCTGTCTTTTTTTTATCATATTTTTTCTTTGGTCAACTCCTAGATATCTTTAACTACTAACACCTAATTTTCAGTATCTCATATTTAGTTATGTCGGGGTCAACGTGTACGTACGTGTATTATCTGAGCTAATCACTGAGCTAACAGCAGTCTCTGAGTCTTTAGGTGTTGCTAACGTCTCCTGGTTCTTTCTGACTCACAGAAGACACAGAAGAAAAGCTGAAAGGCTTTATAGACCTCGGAGCAAAACAACGGGGCTTCGTCTCAGTGGCTTTACCAAATAAACAGAAGCGTGATGAGCTGAATTAGCAGGGCACTTAACTGAGGTGCATTTTATGTCACTAAATTAGTTTTAATGATCCCAGGAGGAGCAGATGCTTCTCTTTATTTTTACATTATCATCATTATTATCACGCCGAGGCTGACTACGAGTCGAACTCCTGGGTTTCTGTTTCTATCCCCGATGCTGTAGTAAGGTTTGATCGCAGCAGGTAACGGCAGAACCAGACACAGGGCGTGTTTTTGTTTGGGTCTGAGTCCATTGTCTGTGTCCTGTCTCATGAACCGATGGAAATGTCATTGTTTACAGGAGCAGCCAGAGCAGGGTGATACAAACACAACACGCAAACCACCACATCACAATTCTGAGTGGATTTGTGCGAGAGCAAGAGAGAAAGTGTGGGAAAGAGAAGTGATCATTAGACAGTTGAGAAAGAAGCGACTCTTCTTTTAACAGTTTTAGGATTTGGATTTCCCCAGGCGGGGGTTAAACAAAGTGTTAAGATCTCGGAGATAAAACACAATCCCCTCGGGAGTTTAGTGAGAAATAATTAGCAGAGTGACTTGGTGCTTTAGTTGCACGTGTCTGCTGTTTGTTTGTTGTCCCTTCAGTCCTGTTGTTGTTTTGTAGGAGGACACGTCAGGCCTCGGTCTGTGGGGCCGTGTGTCGAGGGTCTTGGTCCAGTTCACTGCTCTGTGTGGCGTCAGCAGCTCACACTGGAGCCGACGGCCCTCGTCCTGATCACCCAGACATGTTTAGTAACACGACTTTGGTGAAGCCACGTCTGTGTGTTTTTCTCTACTGTCTGTACGAATGGCTGTGTTTATGTAAAGGATATATGGGATTCACATGGAGAATCATTTGGTTTTTTTGGTTTTTCGTGGCTATCGTCAAACAACCGAAAAACAAATCTGAATTATTCTTGGAAATTGCTTTCAAGGTTTGTGCCTAGAAGGTTCTTAGAAACCATAAGCCATAAAGTAACTGACAAAAAAACTTAGCAATAAGCCATAAAGTAACTGACAAAAAAAAACTTAGCAAATGCCGCTGTAATGAACATTATACCCCCCAAAGATATTACATATGGGAAAATACTTTCTTAGGACGAAGATAGAATTTTGATATTGAGGACTGTTGCTTTAAAGAACACGCACACACATACGCACACACACCAGCAGTGGCTGATAAACAGGCAGAGGACGTGTAAGTGACATCAGAGTGTTGCTGATATCAGAAAAGCTGATTTGGCTCCAGTCCGTCTCCATGACCCAGCACCCACGTACACACGATATCAGCCCAGTCACTCCAGTAACACAGCACAAATGAAAGGACTCACTAAAATAACACATTTAGTGCGACTTATATATTTGTTTAAAGCAGACAGAGCTTAAATATCACTCAGAATAACACAACCCTCAGCTGAGGCCCAACACTTGTTGAAGTCAGCCAGGCCTCGTCTAAAGAAAACACTCACATCCACCTCATTCCGAGCAACAACAAAATGTAATTGGTTTTTCATGGCCCAAACCCAAGTCCTCCATGTCGTTTGTTAAAAAAAAGATGACCAAATAATTTAAAACATTCAGTATTTTTTTTTTGTTACGTAACCCTGCTAACAAACAGAACCAACATTCACAGATGAAGACACGACCCTCTCGACTCAGGGACTCATTGGCTGAGTTTGCACAATTTCACAATCACTGATCTCATTAACATGATCTCCATTCACAGTAGGGAGACGTTGGCAGATGAACACAGGGCAGCCTTCAGTGGCCTGAGGATCATTTTCTCCACCAGAACAGAGAAAACACATCAACAGGATTAAATGCAGCCTTAAAGTGGCTAAAGAGATTCAGTTTTAACTGATTTATTAAATTAAAAAGGTTAGGGGTTAATGACAGTTTGTTCAATCTACAAACTCTTCTTTTAAGTCAATGCATAATTAAAGTAAATTTATCAAATCAAATTTATTAAGAAATACTTTTTTGTAATTTCAACTAACATTGTTTGGATAAAAAATTGTATGGGATTTAGTTGGCGAGTGAAGTGAACAAATATCGTCATATGGCACTATTCGCCGTACTTTGGATTGTACTGAATTCACTGTCTATCATCATCATTATGGCTCCCAAGTATAAGTCAGACTCTTCCTGTTCTTATGTCCAAGATTATGATGTTACCACTGCGTTAGCATAGGTGAGTAACGTAGGTACTTTGGAACAGTATGACTTATGAAAATCATGTTACGTGTCGTAAGAACTTAATTTGTACGCAAATTGAGGACCCTTGTGTATAAACCTATTGTGTGGTTTACATGCTATAATTGTGAGGTTGTAAAAAAAGAGAGAAGAGATGTCAGGATTTTACAACCAGAACACAACAAAAGCCCTAGAATTAAAACGTAAACACCTGATATCTGCGGGACCAGAAGAACTGATATGATTTAAAGTGCTGTGAAACTGAAAAAAAAAATAAAAAAACAAGTGTTAGGGGAGGGGCGGGATCAGCCCACAGGCCCAAACTGACTTTTTAAGGTTATAAAGGTCTGAATAACACTTTGTGTTTATTAGCCATTAATTATCTTAAATTGCAAAAGGGATGGAATCAACTACATGTTTTTCCCTCAAATTAGGTGACGTAACAACTCTTACCAAGACACAGTAAATCAAACCCAGAAACACAAATTAAATCACTCTCCTGATGAGGACCTAGTGTTGTGACTGCAGGGTCATCGCCTGTAGCGAGAGCTGACAGTGACACCACGTCTGTTCAGTAGTTAGTCTGCGCAGCTGAAATCTAATTTTCTCACAAATCAGATTCTTCTCCTCACTATCAAGTGCAAACCATCAAATCTGATTTGTGTTCCCTGTTGTGACGTCTTTGCTTTGTAGTGTGACGCATAATAAGACAACTTTAAATACGATTTGGGCAATTATGACTGGGGTTCCAGGATTCCAGATTTAATAGACAGATATAAAAGAAAACCTGTTACAACACTGGAAAATCAGTTGAATTTTAGGTGTAGGTCAGTATTTACTTACTGGGCTTTCAATAACAACGTTTGAATCTACTGCCATCTACAGTTGTTTTTGTCAAATTCTACTAAACACCTATGACCTTTGAGCCCATTGATAGAAAAGTTGACCTGTTTTTACCACATCTGAGGCCAAAGAAGCAAAAACCAATCAGGAAATGGTCCATTGTAATTTTAAACACTGCACTGATACCAGAATGGCACGACTGTAATAAACCTCAACTATTACCGTCATCGTTACTGCAGGACGGCCAGCCTGATCTTGTGGGTTCCGTGATGGATGCAGCCCATTAGCCTTGTTGACCTCACCAGCATTCAGAAACCATTTATGTGCTTGTAAAACTCAGATCAGTTTATTGTACTCATGGAAAATAAATGAT